GGGACACTGCAACCGTCCTAAGTACATGCCAGTTGCCAATTTTGATCATGTGATCGTGGGGGATGCTGCAAAGGTGGTTAAGACTTTTGTTGTTGTTGTTTTGTTGTTTAAGACTTTTTATTGCAAAACGTTAGATGCGAAAGGATCTGGGCCTGGTATGAAAAAGTGAAGCACTTTTATTCATCAGTCTAAGACAGGGGTAGGCCATCTTGGCTCTTTTATGACTCGTGGACTTCAACTCCCAGAATTCCTGAGCCAGCATGGCTCAGCTTGGAAACCTCTCCCTTTCCCCTCAGCATGGCTGGCTCAGGAATTCTGGGAGTTGAAGTCCACGAGTCATAAAAGAACCAAGGTTGCCTACCCCTGGGCTAAACCAAGTCGCAAAACACAAAGCAAAGTTCACGGGAACTTCCCATCGATGGAACAAGAGATTCCACTCCAACAAGGAGTTTCCACGTGGGAAGAGACAGCAGGCTCAGAGGAGAATGGGATAAGATCTGTTTTCAGCTGAATCAGATTTTTGTGGACAAATGGATCTGATGGTCCATGAGTCCTGAGTTGAACTTCCTTTGCTGGTGAGATGGACTTGTTAATTTCTGGCAGTGCGGAATGTCTAGTCTTTCTGCAGGTACTTTGCGTGGCTTGGCCTCTGGGCATCAGCCCCGGATCTTCAAGAACAGGATTATTGGTTGCTGATGGAGTCGTGACTGCACTCGTCCTTTAGTTATTAGATGGCCAACATTGTTCATGCCAACAAAAGGTTAGCCGTGGCAGGCCCTGAAAAGGAGGAGGTGAGCGCCTGGCAATGGAGGTGTTAATCCTTTGCTTCTTTAGAAGCAGCCCTGAAACGCCTGGTCTGGCACCCAGGTCCTTCTGAAATCAGGAACCTTGGCCTGGCTGAGCCTTAGGGAAGAAAGGATCGGGCTAAGAGTCCGTGGTCCCTGGTAAGACCACGTTTGCGTAAAGCTCTTTAAAAGTGCCCAGCAAGATTTATGGAGCGTTGGCACATTATACACGGCTTTCAAGCATTTTTCCTGCTGGGATCTGTTGGACACCAAGTCCCACGCTTCGCAGCCAAAATGGCCATGGAAAATCAAGTTGTAATTGCTTGCACGATGTGTGAAGCCACGCATCTTGGCCTTTGGTGTCCATAATGCCCAGCAGTGTGGGCATATCGGTTAAGAATACGGGAATTGATGTCTAAGGCACCCGGAAGACGTTGAATGGGGTATTTAAAAATCGCTGAAAACTTCCGAAGTTGCTGAACCTGGCGATATTTGGCATTCTTGCTTGGTATATCTCATAAAATGTCGGCTCTTGTTATAGTTTCCTTAAAAGTAACAGCAAACATATAAGGAACGGTTGCTGGAATTGGGTATGTCTAGTTTAATTAAGAGAAGGACGAGGGGGGATATGATAGCAGTGTTCCAATATCTTAGGGGCTGCCACAAAGAAGAGGGAGTCAAGCTGTTCTCCAAAGCGCCTGAAGGCAGGACAAGAAGCAACGGATGGAAACTAATCAAGGAGAGAAGCAACCTAGAACTAAGGAGAAACTTCCTGACAGTTAGAACAATTAACCAGTGGAACAACCTGCCTCCAGAAGCGGTGAATGCGCCAACACTGGAAGTTTTTAAGAAGAGACTGGACAGCCATTTGTCCGAAATGGTATAGGGTTTCC